CAAGATTCATATAATTTTGAATTTTGTATTTTTATTGCTATTTGTTCTCTTTACCAAAATGATCATGATGCATAAAAAAACATTTGCAGGACAGTGACAGAGAAAGGCCAGTGATCGTAAAATGAGTGCGTTTTGTGCATTGTCTGGGGAGTGAATGTATTATTGCACTGACGGTGCCTACATTTTCATAGGCGTGTGTGTATGTGTGTGTATATGTGTGTGTATATGTATGTGTATATATATATATAAACAAAAAAAATAAGACCCCTGTGGAGCTTTTTAGCCATAATGTGCTAGTGTACAAAGTAGGGATGTCGAGATGCCAGTGCCGATACGAGAACTACCAACTTGCAGCTGGGACCTGGCTCCGGCTCTCCACCACTGTCCTGAAATCATTAGTCTGTATTGTTTTTAAAAAAACTGTCACATGACCATAAACAAAAATGTGTGAGTACTTGGACACGTATCAGTACTTGTAAAAATGGCATCGGTGCATCACTGATATATATTTTAAATAATGCATTAAAACGGTAATGCACAAATCCCAGGAGCTGCGTATGTTCCTTTTAAAAATGACAACTCCCTTCGAACTTTAGAATTTTTCTCTTGTCTAGTCTTGGAGCTGGAAAAGTATCTGTACTTGTACCGAGTACGGTACTTGGTATCTGAACATCCCTAGTACAAAGCAACGATGTATGCGCTGTCCTCCCTCACTGGCATTTTCGTCCCAGTGCGCTTCTGGGATCAGAGTCTTCGATTGATTGGCCAGGGCCAGATGACTCCTGCGCATGCCCATGGGAGTTACCTTGTCTGGGCAAGAATCTTGCTAAAACTGTGCATGTGTAGCTCAGTGCACAGAATAAAATTGCTGACCGGCAGATAGAGGAAGTGTTCCAGCAGAGACTTCACACATTCCCTTCTGTCATATTCAGCCTGCTTGTGAGCATTTTTTAAAAATATTTCACTTGACAGCCACTTGTCTCCAGCATTGTCACAGTCGGCGAGCGCATGCTCCTGCATTCCCAGAAGCAGGGAAGGAAAAGGCAAAGCAACAGGTTCACTTAACTGCCATCCCACACTGTTTATACTTGGCTTTCTTTTACCCATTCAAGTTAATAACCGGGTGACGGGCCACATCTGTAAGCGACACTAATCCCAATTTGGCAGAGTTAGGCCTCATTCACACTGGGCAGTCTACATTGGACAAATTGTGGACAAAACTCACTTTTGCATTTGAAGGAACTCTGCTCTATATTGGAGGTCTTCTTTATTCTGAAAGTGTATGTCCAAAAAATAAAAACAAAACTACTTGGTACATCTCTTGAATTATATGCACATTTCCCCATGTTTTGCTTCTTTAAAACCACTGCAGGTACAGAAAAATATCTGATGATCCTGACAGAAATCAAGTGAGCATTTTGTGCCGCAAAGGCACAGGAAGTTAGGAGCTCACTGGATCCCTGGCAGATCAACAGGTATTTTAACATACTAGTTTTTAACTAGACAAAACATAAAGGGGGGGAATTTATCAAAACTGGAGCAGACAAAATCTGGAGCAGTTGCCCAGGGCAACCTCGGCTTCTCTCTTCAGTTTGTTCAATTAAGATTCAGAAAATGAAACGGAGGCTAATTGGTTGCTGTGCACAGCTGTTCCAGATTTTGATAAATCCCCCTTCGAGAATATGCATGTAATGTATATATTTCTTTTAAAGTGAATGTCAACACTAACATTGTATGTGTCATTATATGCTGTTATATTTTGCTTTGACAAATGCATTCATTTAGCCAAACATACACAAGTGTGCTTTCACTAGGGGACCACAAGATGGTGCCATAAGTACAAAAGTACATTTTAGACAGTTTAAAATACATACACTGTTTAGTAGGAAGAACTGTGTATATTGTATTTCAACTTTTCATTCGTACACATTTACCTTTCTGTTATTTATAATGCAGGATTTTAGACGCATATCATTATCAATAAACATTCCCAAGTGATTTTTAGTTGTTTTTTTTTTCTTATTATTAAATGGTCACTGTGACTGGACCGCATCAAGCACAGCAAATGTATATTTTAATACAAATAGGATATTGGGATTTACTGAGGTGCAGTGACTGCACAAGCCACACATTCTTATAAAGAGATCATTTACAGGAAACGACGTGCATTTGATATCTCGCTGGCCTATGAGGTGTCTATTGTCTATTTTGTCTTGGCAAAAGAAAGCTTTGATCGGGAAGTCCGTATCATATTGGGTTTGTCAAGTGTCAAATACTTTATAAAATTGTTCAGTCTTTAGTAAATTAGTTACATGGATGTTTATTACAGGGGCATTTTGTACTTTGACTCACTCAGGGTTATACAGCATGCCCACTGAATAACTTTAATTTATATCCTGGTATTTGTCATATGCACGTAATCTCTACTTGAAAAATCTTCATGGTTTGCTTCATTTATTTTCCTACTGGCCTGAATCCAAATCGTTGTGTTCACGGTTTCCCTGCACAGCCCTCCGCAGCACTCGTGGAGGGATGTTGCACAGAGACAAGTGACAAGAGGGTGCAATTATGCTCTGATGCAGTAAGGAAGGTTTGTTAGACCTAATGCACTTATCAAATTCAAATTAAAGTAGAACTATGGCCTCCTGTGAAAACAATCTGTGCTGCAGGCCCTAATTATAAGTACATCTGCACGTACAGTTTTCTTTTAGTCTCTCTGCAAATTCCCACAAGTGTCTGTTGAACCTGACAGTAAAGCTCACTTAAAGCAGACCTCTACACTCCAAAACCAAATTCTACCAATGCATCCCTCTATGTATGATGATTAATAATACCATAGACATGTCAGATGTAGAATGCTGTCATTGTGAAATACATACACTTGCAGAGCATTCACTTCCTGCTTTTAAAGGTGCAAAACGACTTCAGTTTGCCAAAACAATGCACACTGGGATTGTTTTGTCATCAGCAGAGCATTGCTGGGAAATCTGTAATCTCATGAGATCTCGGGGAAATGCATTTTCCTCCCGTGAGATGATGTCCATGGTGTCTAGCCACATGTGCCAAAAATCCAGGAAGTAATAGGAGAGCTAGTAATCTGCCCTTAGTAAACATGGTAACTGAAGGTTTTTTTTTTGAGGTATTTTTTTTTTTTTTTTTTTTTGCTGATGTCACAAAGGTGTTCAATAGGTTTCATATTCCTGGAGGTTTTTGTCACATGGAACATGATTTGGCATTGCTGTAAAATTGGTCAAAGTAGTGTAAACTACAGTTTAGCATTTCTGAGTGACGAAGAATTCACTTCAGGGAAAAAAAATATCTGGTAGAGTACAATATTGGTGGTTATTGCAAGATGAGTAAAGACTTTTTTCATTATATAGTGAAAAACTAAAATCATGATTAAACACCACCAAAAGAAAGCTCTACCTGTCCCAAAAAATGGTATAAAATTCATTTCAGTACAGCGTTGCATAACAGAATAAATGTCAAAGTACCGCAGCGCTGAAAAATGGCCTGGCCAGACAGGGCATTTATCACCCTGGTCTTCAAGTGGTTAACATGTACAGTTTTGAGAAAAGGCAAATTAAGGGTGTGAATGCGGTTCCAGGAGGGCAGTTTTTTAACTATGAAGCTAAGATCAACAACTTGGGTACAGGACCTAAAAACTAATCTTAAAAAGTATTGTTTTACTAAGAGAGTAGATGATGTTTGGAGCAGAATTCCAGCAAAGCTAGTGAGTCAGTCAACAATAAGTGTATTTAAACATGTTTGGGACAAACCTAGATGTATACTAAGGCAAAAACAAACTTGAGCAGACTTGATGGACCACTTGGGTGTTTTATGCCGTCATTATACGTCTCTTTTATGAAGAAATCCGTCTCCGTTTTTGACATATATGTGGCATTGCGCAACCATGATTACTCATTACTTAGATTCCGTATAATGTGGTTTGATGAATCCCAGTTCACCTGTGCAATGTTAGATTTAATGTTCTGCCTCAATTTGATTTTTTTTTTTTTTCATATCCATTAGCAGATTAGAAAGCCGCCTTCAATTTTCTATTAGTGGCTTTTTGTAATAAAGACAGTGATTTTGTTCATCTCTTACAGGAAAGACCAAATGCATGATGAAATCCTCAGACTGTGTAATTAGACATCCCGGTGTTTATAGCACTGGTATGGCTATGGTGGTAAGTGTCTGTATTCACAAAATTAAAATGCCTGTTATCACTCTTTAGGTTTATTATAGTACTGCAAATAGAAAATTAACATGA